CAGCATCGGTTACCGTGGAGAAAAAAGGTAACAAAGGAGAGCCAGCTTCGTGACACCAAAAACTCTGACTTGAAGCTCAATATACTTCAATAACCCACTGACCTTAACTCATAGTTCAGAACCTCAGATGTTGATGTTTCAGTCACATGACTTGATTCTCACTCAGGTCTGTTCCATCTTTGCTGTGATTCAGGAACTCTGTTGATCCAGTTTGTCTTAAACACCTGAGCTCTGCTTGGAGGTCCTGAACCTCCTCAGAGTCTCTGTCATGGTCCCGTTGCTGCTAAACTCCCACAATGCTCTCTGCTGCCACCAGGAGCTGTAGTCTGTAGACGCCTCCTCTGGTCTCTACAGGACTAAACAGGAAGAGGCTCCACCTGGTGGAACAACCAGGTACTGCAGCTGGTCTATGGTCATGAGGTGTGTTTTATTTCTGACTGGGACTCTGTGTTGTCAGATACTAAAAGTTAAACGACTTAAACTGGACTGTTGGCAAAAACCTGAATGATCCAGCGAGCTGGTAACTCTCAGAAGCAGCGTAAACTCTGGTCGGATGTTTGTGGACGTGGTAGCATCGCTGCTGTATGTGCTGTCAGAGGATGTTACTCCATGTTCCTGTGACAGAACCAGTGTGTCCAGCAGAACCTGAAGGTGACGGCAGGATTGTGAGGAAACACCAGCTCCATGTGTGACTACATGCAGAAATCAGGCATCATGTGGTTTGTTCAGTTTTAGTTCTAGTGGGTGCAGACAGAATTAAACATTCATCCATCCAATCCTCACCAGGGTCATGGGGGGCGGAGCCTATCCCAGCTGACTCAGGGTGAAGGCAGGTTCACCTGGACAGGTAACCAGTCTATCACAGGGCTACACTTAGAGACAGACAACCAAGCACACTCACATTCACACCTACGGACAATTTACAATCACCAATTAACCTCAGTATGTTTCTGGACTGTGGGAGGAAGCCGGAGAACCCGGAGAGAACCCACGCTGCACGGGGAGAACATGGAGACTCCACGCAGGAAGATCCCGGGTGTCCTCAGCGGGACGTGAACCGGCGACCTTCTAGCTGTGAGGCCACGGTGCTAACCACTGAGACACCTGCAGGCCCATGTTGCACATGAAACTGAAATATGACACGATACTGAAACTGATGTTGACCAAACTGCTGAGAGCAGAAGTTCTGGAGGAGGAATCCTTCAGTCTCACAGAACCAACACCTGCTGTGGTTTTTTCCTTGAAGTTCTTCTCTTTTTACTTCTGATGTTTTGTTTCCTATTTTTCCAGCACATGTCTGTTTTCTCTCCAGCGTGATGTTTCCGTCTCACACCTCAGTGCGGCGGGTCCAGCTGCCGGCCCATAGGTGGCGCTGTGCCGCTCTCTGCTCGCTCAGCGTGTGGACGGACTCGGTCTGATGATTCAGCCGGTCTTCAGCCCACGGACGCGGCTCTCTCTCTCTGTCACGACGCCTCGAGTCCGACACGACTGCAGCTGAGAGTCCAACTGTTCATTCATGCTGGAGCCGGACCGGTTCCAACTGGATCAGCACGAACCGTCCCGTTAATTCATCTGGGCGCCTGCAATCAGAAACTCCTCAAATTAAAGCCCTCACGATGCAGAAAAGCCCGATTCTGGCTGTAGATTCATTCTTGTGTTTATTTCTGCATCACGTCGGGATGAAACCAGAAAAACCTGATTATAGATAAAATACTAGAAACAGACCGACAGGATCATCAGGCTTTAAAAGGTAAATACGACAGCGATGAACAGCCCAGTTCAAACAGTAGACCTTCATTCATCCTGCAGCGTGCATCATTACAGCTGCAGCATCAGCAGAACAGAAGACAAACATCCAGATTGACATCATCAGGTTCTTCAGGTTCTGTCATGAGCAGAACTACTGACAGACGAGCGCTCACACTGCAATGTGTTCTGTTTGTTCTTAAACACTGGAACAGTTTGCAGCTCATCTGAGCATCTAAAAGGCCTGGAGGTCCAGTCGAGGCAGGGAAAGTTCTGAGATGTTCCCGGTGCGTGGCTTTAAACATAAAACGTCCTGATCCAGCTGATGGTCAGGACTTTATCCTGAATCAGCATCGACTGAGAGCAGCAGAGAGGATTCTGTTTGTACGATATAAACCCACACTGACTGCAGACGATCAGAACTGCAGCACCGTGTTGATGTGATTGCTGCTGATGTCCAGCATGTACAGATTCAAGTCCTTCACTGGTCCTGCATTGACTCCTTCAGGAGCCATTAGCATCCATAACTGGATGTTGTTCAGGTGTGGCCAGAGTCTGAACGAGCGTTTCTTTTGTTTTCCTGACAAGCGGTCGGTGTTGTTAGCGTTCAAACAGTCGCCACAGTCACGAGCTGCAGACATCCAAGACTTCTAATAAGAATAATAATAAGAAGCATAACACTAATGATAACACCCCCGAGGACACGTGGACGTGGAAGGAGTCGGTCTGTAGCTAGACACCATGACGAAGACCTCTGTGGTGTCGACGCCTTCAGACCGGAGCTCACGTTCTTAGAACAAGTCAACTTAGAGCAGTGCTAGATGTTAGCCTGATGCTAGCTAGCAGTTAAAAACGGCCAACGGTGTTTAGAAACATGTGATTATTGATTGACAGCAATGCTAACTGTCGGCTAAGAAATTAGTTTAAAATTTGTATCCAGGGCGCCGCTACAGCTCACCTGGCTGAGCTGGCGTCCCAGGTACAGGGGCTGCAGTCCCCGATGTGGAGGTCATGGGTTCGAGTCCTGCTCATGGCCCTTTGCTGCAGCTCCTTCCTCTGTTCACTGTCACATAAAAGCCCAAAGAATAAATAAATGTGCAGCCTCTAAGTTCAGGTTCATTCAGTCGTGGTTTTGGCTCTTTGGGGGTTTGAAGCTTCGAAATCAACATTAAAACTGAACTGAATCTTTCTATGACATGGTTATCACCGGCATTTATCCTGAATGTAGACGGAGCTGAGCAGTGATGCTCTGTAGGACTGGACTCATCGTTCTCTGGGATCATTGATGTGTTCCTACGGTTCTGCATCGATGCTGCTGCTGTCTGTCTGCTGCGTAGCTTCGTGTGTGTTTCTTGTTGTGTGCATGTCACTGTGTGACAGACTGATGTTTATTCTGTGTTCTGCTGTCCAATGAGACACAGGAACAGGACCACTTCACTCTGACCCGCCCTGCAACCTAAATCTAACCTTTAGCTAACCTTCTGCTAACCTTTAACAAACTCCTGCTCTCGTCTTTGTCTGACCTCAGCTTCACTTCACTGACTCATCCTCACTCGCTCACGTTGCCATGACATCACCTCATGACCGTCGAGCTCATGGCAGTGACCTCACCGTCCCGGCTCAGAGGTGATGTCATCGCTCCCAGTTCTCTGCAGCGCCCCCCC